CCACCGCGAGCCACGCGACGAAGATAGAGTGAGCCATATGACGAACCGGTATGTTTGCCGTCCAAACATATCGAGTAGAAGCATCAATAAAATCAATCATATAGAGCTCCCCCTTAGGTCCTGTTTGAGGTAAGTTGAGGATGTCGCTGTAGACTTTCTGCATCAGTGTGTAATGTGTGGATCCCGGAAAGTGACTTGTAAATGGTTCGTGAGGAAGATTTGCAGTTGTGCATGTTGTGCAAACTGCTGGTCGTGAAGACGGCTTCATCTCCGTTCTATCCGGTAAGAGCAAGCCGTTCTTGTCAAGAACTGAAGCTCGTATAGTATGATTAAGAATCTTCGGAGAAGGATGACCTAACCGTTGATGCCATATATCATCTGTTGCTTTGTGTCCTGTTGATTGCAGATAAAAATCGGCGTTAGTATAATGAAAAAACGATGAAAGGAGAAAACGCTGGTGACTCGTCGAGTTGTCCAGGAACGAAGCGGGTAAGAGGTAACTTAGTGGTTTTACTTTCCACATTGAGAACATCTGCTGGTTGAAGAACTCATTCTCCTTCTTCGATTTCCGTTTCTATTGAGACTGCTGCGGGTTGACCAATGAGAACCCCTGTGTCTGCTTCACTGCTACTTTGTTGCTCTTGTTCCTCTGCTTCAGTGCTGCTGTTAGGTCCCCAAGATACCTCAGGTCTGTTGTTGAGTTATTGTTAAGTATCATAATAGTTCTGCCACGCTGATGTATCTTCTTGAGCTGTGTTTGTTGGCCAGGAATCAAGAGCCGTTATAACTGCAGCGGCTGTACGAGATCCCATTGGAGCTGCAGTTGCACGGAAGTCTATTTCAAATTTTTGAAAATCAGTTTCTTCAGGATGTTGCCAAGGCCCAAGAGATAACACTCTGTCAGAATCTCCAGAAGTGCCTTGCTTCGAATTGAAGAACGGATACGCCATACTGAGTGGTAGCTCTCCAGATGTAAGTATTGGTATCGTTGTGAAAAATTTCCTGCTCCATGGTCTCACAATTTCCTTGTGTCATGATCTTATGTCGTAGGAGTTGAGCCATCAAAAGAAGATTAAAACCAAGTCCAACGATAATGAGGACGTTCGTAGCATGTAAGGAAAAACCTGTGTCAACCGAATCCAGCATGACGTTGCCGAGAGATCTTGCCATGATCATTTGTCCGTTTGCAACTGTGACATGTACTGGACATCGAGGACACTGATGAGTGATGATGAGCGTCTTGGCAGAGCACATGTAATGACCACAACAACTGTCAAGTTACCAAGTGTTTGGTGTTGCAATAACCCGAGCGAGATTAGCATAGACCTGAGGTAAGATCATGTTCTCAGGTTGCTCGATGGAACTTTCTTCCTCCTCATCGTCGAAATCTGAATCTGTTCCATGAACTGTTGTAACACAGCTAAAAACATGTTTTCCTGATATGGAATGAGTTTGTTGTTGGTGGATTCTGCTTCACGGGTTGCTTGAACTGCTGCGACTGCTACTGTACTCCTCGTTTCTTATCAGCTTGAAGCTTGTTGCAATATTTGATGCTGTGTCCATCCATTTTGCAGTAGTGATAGAAGAACTTGTTGACACGTTTTGCAAGTATTGAATAGAAACTGATATTAACTGCTCCTCTTTTGTTACGTGCTATTTGCAGGTCAAGGTCCTGCTGCTCAGCTTGAAGAATCGAACAAATTTCGGCTTCGGAAAGATTTGGTTGAATCCCATTCTACTCCAAGGCCAGCAAGAAGAACTGTTGCAAACGTGTCCTTTGGGAAGTATCCGCTTCATTTTTCCAATTGGTCACGAAGTGTTTGAGCCCTGTTGATGTAATCCAAAACGTTCTCATTGCCCTTCATCTGTACATGTGTCAGTTGTGAGAGAATCTTATTCACGGAAATGGTGTCCTGTGCCATACAGTATATAGCCGCTTCAAATGCTTCCATGCAGATTCGGCTGGAGTCAAGCTTGTGTGAAGGAAGTGTATACCGAGCTGCTCTTTTAGCGACAGATTGCAGATAAGAATTGTACAAGATGTAACACCAGAATCAGTGTTACAGCCTTGTGATACTTCAAGACTTTGAACATGGATCTTTGCTGGAATGGTAGACTAGTAAGATAGCGGAAGGCTTAGAACTTGTAAGTGTTGACTAGAATTTACTCAAGAACAAGTTGATAATTGAAGGCATACAAGCAACTTTTATATCTGCTAGAAGTACCTATTCGGTAATGTACTTGTTCAAAACTATTTGCGCTATGCGCTGTAACCGCTACTGAAAGGAGGGCGACTGTTCACGTGACTGAAACGGCCTGCTGACTTTATCATCTAGACAAGCGCTATTTGTTGACGTCATTCTACGGATGCTAACTACAGTGCAACTCGACAATATCTATCGGAACTACTTAAAGAAATGCTGAAGTACGATTTTATCACAACACTTAGAGGGTACAACTCCAACCCTATATCTCCCTTGTTCTCTCTTGTTTCTAGCAATTCCTGTATTCTAACACAGTGTGCCCATAGCCCCACAGGATCTGCACCTGTGGCCCTTCCTCAAGGATCTTCTCAAGGGTAACCCCAGCGGGTCACTCGACAGGCTGCCCCTACAAACACATTTGGGACAGCCCCCAACGAGCTCCAAATGCATGCCGCGTGGCATAAGCGCGCTGAATCGCGACGTGCAGCAAAGCGGAACTATAAAAAACGAGAAATTCACATTTGGCACGCGACGCGACGGGAGAATTCCGTTTGTGCTCCTGCTGGCTTCAAATTCCATTAAACTCGGTATGTGAATTCCATTGCCTATGATTGGAGCACACGTTTCCCACCGATCTGGTTAGGTGCGTCAAGGAGTTTGCAACTGTGCTGAAAACTTGCATTCTCAAGTCTGGGCAGTCGAAGTTATATTTTGTGTTGAAAGTGAGGGGTGTGCGATCGTGCGAGGCATCCAAGTTCGCACGCGAAATTCATTTGCAACTGCATTACATGATTGATGATCTGCATGTTAAAAAACAGCATGCTTGGAAACATGATTGATTCTGATCCTATTAGGGTGCATTGAATTCGGGGCTCGTGTCACGTGTCGTGTTATCCCTGTTAAATTATATATTTTGTTACTGAAACCTAATGCCAGCGATGGTGCCTTGCTGAAGATTCCCCCCCCCCCCCACCCCCTTCTTCCTCTGCGTTCCCTCTTCCTTGCCACAGCCGTCGACTGCCTCGTGAGGGCCTTCCCATAGCCGTTATGAGATTGGCCATGCCGTCGAGAGGGCGGGGGCCGCTGCAGCCGCCTCTGACGTTGAAGCCACCGCTGCCGCCGCTGTTGCCGCTGGCCAGTTGCCGCCGCACACCGCCACCGTCGCTCTCGTCACTGCTGTGCCTGCTGCCATTGCCATCTCCCAGGCCATGGATATTCCAGAGTCATCGCGACTACTGCTGGAAATGGGGGTGCTAGGTTAGGGGGTGTGGGAGTGTGTGGGTTCTTAAACTACCAAGCCTTGGGGGTGTGTTAAATTATATATTTTGTTATATAATTGGTAGGCTTGGTAGGTGTTGCTGAAACCTACTGTAGAGGGTGCAACCCCCCTCCTTGTATGCCTATCTCTTCTATTCTCGTCCTCTTTTATCTCCTCAACTTTCTCCTTCCTAAACCTCACACCATTCCATGGCTTCCCTCCTACCTAGCTTAGTTTAACAATCCCAACTTCCGGTAATCATTTGCTAGCATTTCGGAACTTTGTTACCCTCAGTCAACTTTCCTCGCGATACAAATTACTGTCCCGCTAACTGGTGGTACCAGGGCCCAAAATTGGTTTTAGGCCACTCTTTGAAATCACAGTTGGAAAAAAAAAAACCCTTGACGGTCAGAGCTAAAAAAAATATAAGTCTGATTTGGCAGGGTAAAAAAATTCGAAGTCTTTGCTTTAAGTGTAGAACTCTTTGCACCCTTTCTAGCCTTGGCCATTTAAGGAACATTTTACATAAATGAAGTGGGCAGCACTGAGGTGTGGAAAGAAGTGTATTCTGTAGCGGATTTGCGCGTGCTGGGGGGGGTTGGGGGATGGGACTATAAACAATTCTGGGGCGCGAGAGGGGAATCAGATTTACATGGACGGCAGAGGGGCAGGAAAAAAAACCAGATTCGACGTGATTGGTTGGGTGTCAGAAGGGCGTATACGACGTGAGGCGTCTTGCTGTGGTGTGGAGTGAAATAAATCGTCTGATATTGTAAGAGACTAAGTATAAAACTATAAACACGAACACTTGGCAAATCCTCAAGTGTTGGTCCAGGATCTTTGCTGGAATGGTAGACTAGTAAGACAGCGGAAGTCTTGTAAAATGTAAAGGTCAAGGTTGAATAACCTGAATACGTGAACTTGTGAGTAATCAAAGTTAATAATGAAAAGACCTAACAGAGATTTATAGTTCTACGAAAAGTACCTACTCGCTAATATACCTGTTCGTCACTATCGCGCTATGCGCCCTAGATGATAATGAAGAGGTGCGACTGTTCGCGTGACTGAAATGACTGTCCTATGACGAGCGCTATTTGCTGACGTCATCCTACGGACTTATCTTCTACAGTATGATTCGACACTAACTACACATAATCGACTTACAGAAATGCTAAGTATCAATTATATCACAACAGGAGGGAGGAATGACTCTGGCCGCCAGGGACTTAGTCGAAATTTTTGGGTTGCAGGGTGTTGTGGGGGAAATGTTTCTGGCCGCCAAGGACTTAGTCGGAATCTCGATGTTTCGATACCAGGGTAGCTTTCAGGACACCCTGAAGGGTCAGGGTTCGGGGCCACGCAACCCTAGTTTCGGAAGGGTAATATTTTCGTAACACTTTTTGGATCAGGGTAATAAATTTCGTAAATCTGATTTTTAAGACCAAATGAAAAAATGCCCTGAATAATCAGGGCAATCAGGGCATTTCACCCAGCTAATTTGGGCCCTGGGTGGTACCAGTAGGGTAATGCTGGCAAGTGGTATTTCTGCTTTTCACAACACTGCCAAGCCAAGCCAATACAACAATTGCCTCAGGCTTGCTTCCAGCCAAGTACGGCAACAGCATGCATGTCTGCATAAACTCATCATTTCTAAAAGAATTGCTTTGTAATGCCAGAACTGCCTGGAGGATTCCTGTGCTGTGACAAACTGTTGAGCCCAAAGTCCAGTTCTGGCTGCCCCACAGACTCCTTGGGCGCCAACCCTAAGCCTGGTTCACCCAGCTGGTTACCATGAGAAGCCCCCAAGTTTCCTGCACGCACTGAAGCCTGTTCGTAGCTGGCACCTGCAGCCGACACACCCAGGGAAGCAGCAGCGGCAGCGGCGGCAACAGCAGCAGCAGGGGACAGCACACCTCTGGCAGCAAGCGCTGCAGCAGCAGCAGCAGCAGCAGCAGGAGGACCTGGGACACGAGGTGCAGAAGAGGACGCAGCAAAGGGCAGCTGCTCCCTGCCTTCGGTGCTGCCGGCCAGCCCATGCACTCTGCCCCCCCTGCCCTCCCCAAACACGCCCTCCGCAGGGAGGAAGCCTGCGTGCAAGTTGCCTGCGCCGGGCTGACCTGAGAGGCCCCTACCGCCTGCTATGCTGCCGGGGATACCACCTGCCATACCACCTGCCATGCTGCCTGCCATGTTGCCTGCCATGCTGCCTGCCATGTTGCCTGCCATGCTGCCTGCCATGCTACCTGCCATACCACCTGCTATGCTACCTGCCATAACACCTGCCATGCTGCCTGCCATGTTGCCTGCCATGCCTGTCTGGCTTGCCATGCCCACACCCAGGCTTGAACGGGCGAGGCTGTTGCCGTTGGTGCTGCTGCCCCTGCCCCTGCCGTCAGTGACCGGTTCAAAGTGGCCAGCGTTGAGGTTCAGAGCCTGCACACCGCCACCAGGCCGGCTCCCTGCACTGAAGTCAGGACGAGTGGGCGTGGGAGCCATGGATCGAGGCACGGCTTGACGAGCACCAGCAGCCGTCACATGCCGACTCAAAGCGGTAGTACCACCAGCAGCTGCAGCAGCAGCAGCACCGGCGGCGGCAGAGGCAGCAGCAGTGGAGGCAGCAAGAGCCGAGGCAGCAAGGGCGCCTCCAGGCGGTTTCATGATGCCAGGCTGTGGCAGGAGTTGATGGGCAGTGTGCCTCAGGTCCTTGGCATGGGGGATCGCTCTGCCCCTCTCAAAGCCCCCGCCCACACCACTCAACGCACCCGCCATGGCAGCATCCAGGCCAGCCTCGCCTCGTATGGGGCCACCGCCACCATGGCTGCCCGCATCTGCTGCCCAAAAGGCGCCCACCCTACTGCCTGCTGCTGCTGCTGTGGCAGCGGCGGCAGCACCTGCAGCTTCTGGCAGTGATGATGGTGAGAAATCCAGGGCTTTGCTTCTGCCTGCACGCCCCGCTGGTCCTGTTGGCCCTCCCGTTTCTGCTGCTATGCCTCCACCCGCCGCTACTGCTGCTGCTGCTGCTGCTGCTGCTGCTACTGCTTGTGGGAACAGCGGCCATTCCTGACCCGCTGGCTGCTGCCGCTGCAGGTGTTGCTGCTGGTGTAGCAGGTGTTGCTGCTGCAGCAGGTGCTGCTGTGATGGTTTGCGTTGCTGCTGCTGCCCCCGGTGCTGCTGCTGGTGCTGCTTCTGTTGTAGTTGCTGCTTTGGCTGCTGCTGCTGCTGCTGCTGTTGCTGCTGCTGTTGTTGCTGTTGCTGTTGCTGCTGCTGCAGCTGCTGTTGTTGCTGCTGCTGCTGCTGCTGCTGCTGCTGCTGCTGCTGCTGCTGCTGTCCCTGTAGCTGCGGCTTGGAGTGTGAAGCCAGCTGCGGAGCCAGCTTCTGCAATTGCTGCTGCTGCTGTGGCTGGAGCAGCTTCACATGTGCAGGCAAGGCCTGCTTATCTAAGCTCACAACGCCCCTGTGCAGCTCCCCTTGCTGACTCAACCCTACCTGCCCTTGCTGCTCCCTCTCCCCACTCTTCCTTCCTAAACCCCCACCCCTCTCCCTCCTCCCGCCCTCCTCACCACCCCTCCCACCCTCACTCCCCAACACACCAATCATCCCACTCACCTCCCTCTCTACCCTCCCACCCACCCCTCCCCCCTCCCTCGGGCTCCCGCCCGGTGCACCTTCCCCAGGTGCGCCTCCCTCCACGCCCACCCCGTCCCCAGCAGCCCCATCGGCGCCGTCAGTGTCACCCGCTCCCCCGCCCTTCTTCCTGCCCCACTGGCGCGTGGAGACGGTGCCGTCGGGGAGGAAGTCGTGTGCCACGCGGTGGCGGTGCAGGTAGCGCCACATCTTGCGGTCCGCCAGGTACTTCACGCACGGGTCGCGCTCGTAGTGCAGCCGGTCCATGGCGCCACTCACTATCTGGTTCACCTGTTGCCCCGCGCGGGGAGGGGGGGGGAAGAGGGAGGGGGGGGGTGGTGGGAAGGGGAGTGGAGAGGATGACAGCAGGGAAGACGGTGGTGTGGGCACAGGAGGGGAAGAATAGCAGTGCAGATTATGATAAGGACGCATCCAACGGCCCCTTGAAAAACACAGCACACGCAGGCAAAACGGGCTGCGGCGGCAACGAGAGATCCTGAACATGCAGGGCCACGCGTGGGCTGTTCCTGCTGTACCTGAGCCTCGGGGGACTCCGCTACAAAGTACTGCGAGTCGCGCAGCAGCGTGCACACGTCCGCGCGCGTGCCAATCCCATTTGGCAGCCGGGCGGCCGCATCCCGCACGAGCGAGAGGATGGTGACGTGCGGCGGGCGCTCGAGCTTGAGCATGGCGTGGTCGCGCGCCTTGGCCACGGCCTTGGCGCCATGGCGCACGACAGGCGCCACCATGGCCTTGCCGCCGTCTGTGGCGGTGTAGCGGAAGGCGTGGCACGGGATTTCGTAGCGCAGCCGCTCCTCGCACTGGAAGAGCGTGCGCATGTGCGATGTGGCAGGGGGGAGGGTCACCTGGGAGGAGAGAAACCGGGGGGGGGGGGGGGGGGGGAAGGGGAAGAGGATGTGCAGAGAAGCGGTGGTGGAAGGGACGTGTGGAGTGGCCAGGCGCAGAATGTGGAGCCGAATGGAGTGCTTGATAACTGCAAGCTCGAAGCAGGCAAAAAGCAAAGGCACACCTGGCTATATACGAAACGTGCCTGTGTCACGCACCTGACTCTTGAGCTGGCTGAACGGCACGCGTGGCTCGTTGACCAGCGAGCGCGAAAGCGCCGGCAGGTGGGGCGAGTCGTCGCCCTCCTTAGCCGCCGCCCGCGCGCCGTCTCCCCCCCCACCCGCCACTGCTGACCCGCTCACGCTGCTGCTCTCCTCCGCCTTTCCCCCTGCCCGCCCTTTCCCCTCCGCAGCTAACGCGGACGCATCACCAGCAGCAGCAGCGGCAGCGTCTGGCAGGGACCCCGCATCCTGCAGCATCTTCACGAACCGTTCCTCCAGGCGGCTGAGCCCCTTCTCCGCAATCCCCCAGCTCAGCGGGTCGGCGTTCACGGGCTTGCCAGGGTCCATGGCGTCCGTCGCCGCGCCGCACCACGCCCACTCCGACCCCTGCCGCCGCGACTGCACGAACGGCTTCCACAGCCGCGTGCCGGGCGGCGCCTTCGTCTGGAGCACCTTGAGCGCCGTGATCACCAGCTCGCCGAACCGCAGGGATAGGCGCAGCGCGCGCGGGTCCCCCGGGCGCTCGCGCACGCGCTGCACGATGTCGGCGGAGTGCATCCATGCGAACGACGCCTCGTCCCCGCCTAACCCCCCGCCTAGTCCCCCGCCCACGCCGCCCCCGTCCCCCCGGCTCTGCATGAGCACGTCGCGCACCGCGGCGAGCAGCGCGCGGATGGAGAACCCGATGTCCGTCACTGCCGCCTCGGTCTGGCTCGGCTGGCTGGGTTGACTGGTTTGACTCAGTTGACTCGGTTGGCTCGGGTGATGGGGCTCGCTTCCCCCCGCAACCACCGCCTCTGTCGCGCGCTCGTCCGTCGCTGCCCTCTTCGCCGCGCGTCCGCTGTCGCCGTCGCGCGCACCCGCGCCGCCCAGGCCTTCCCCCCCATCAGGCTCCGGCTCCTTCCGCTTGGCTCCGTCCGCCGCGAGCTGCGCCCCCTGCGCCTGCAGCTGCGACTCCGACCCACTCTTCGCGAGGCGCGCGCGGCCCGCCGCGGACAGCCCGCCGTGCGCCTTAACCTCGCGCCAGACCTGCAGGCGCTGCGGAAGGTCCGCGTCGGGCAGCTGCTGCCACACGGCGCGCATGTCCCTTAGTCCGCGCGCCATGTCGTCGTGGTAGCGGCGCACGTCGTGGTAGTGCTGCTTGCGCTGCAGCACGCGCACGCTGCGCGAGAGCAGCTCGACAGAGGGGTGCAGCTGGCCCGCGGAGAGCCGCCCCCAGAACGCCTGCACGGGGCTGCCGAAGTGAAACGCGGAGTTCTCGAACAGGTGCTCCAGCAACTCAGACGGATCGGCGCGCTCTGACGACGGCAAGAAGCGCGCGAGGCGCTCGCGGTCGTCGTCGTCGAGCACGTTGTACCACGTGTCGAGCGAGAAGAGCGAGCTGGGATCGTCTAGTTGGAAGATCTCCGACGGGAGCTCCACCACCTGCGTGCCCACCAGACACGGCTCCGTCGCGACGGGATCGTCGGCGATCGTCGTGGCGTCGATCGAGGGATGCGCGGGAGGCGGCGCCATGAGATCGCGTTTTGAGTCAGGGTTGTGGCGGGACGCTGCGGCGGTAGCCATAGCGATTGTGGAGATAATTTCTAAGGTGATTAGGGCAATCACATAAGGATTAGAGTCCCATGGTGGTATTTGCTAGTTCGACAGACTAGGGTGCAGGCTCGGGCCTAGGTCGGGCCTGAGCTCCGCTGTCATGTAGCTCCCAAACCTGGGTTTAGGTTATCGGATAGGTCCTTGTTGGGTTGACGGAAAATGGTTATGAATTATGAAGTATAGCGCAGAATACTATAGGGGAAAGTGATTACAATGTTGTACCGAATAATGAGGCCTAGGCAATATATAGGGTGAGTTGACCAGGTTGAATGTCGAGGGCTGGACAACTCAAGGGCTTGATAGTCCCGAGGCTGACGGGGTCAAAATGGGTTCGGGGCGAATCGGGATCAGATTGGGGCCGAAAAGGTCGACGGGGGCTGGTTTGGCGCGAGAACCAAGGGCCGAGCCTGCGGAGCCGAGATGTTCATGTGTACTCGCTGTGGCGAGCCCCATTAAGGAAACGTAATTCCTAACAGTTCTGTCGAAACACTGGGGCTTCCTTATTTCAGACGATTAACTCGTTATCGAATCCAAACCTTTCCCATTCCGTCCTGATATCATGCAGCCTTATACTTCGGGAAGAGCGTCTACAAACGGGAACGCATGGTCCAGCAACGAACTAGTCCTTCCCTTCCCCCCCAAACCAAGCCCAACGCGTGGTGCACTGTACACTGCAGCCAGTCACCCACCGACCAAATCCCGAGACCAACCAGCCTCTGTTCGTCCCTCCCTCCCCGTGAATACAGCACTGTAATTGTCGAGTCAAGAGAGGGCTCTCGGTTCAAGGGTAAACATACGGAATGTCAGGTACATTCCGGGTATTTCCCGCTGAATTCCTGATTTTGAGGGTTTCGGAATCACAGACCTCATGACTGATTCCGGATGTTTCCAAGGAACTCCCTGAGCAATCCGGATTGCGGGAATTTTTATCCTGGCCATCTGACTGGCATGGAAAATCACCCGTGCTGGAATTGCAACCCTACCCCCCTTCCCCCCCCCCCCCCCCCCAATTCCTTCGCAACCCTGACCAAATTTTCCACGCAATCTGAAGGTGCGACCCGTGGAACTTTCACAATTACAGAAGTGCGGGGCTGTCAGACCTTTCACAACCCCTTAATATCAACTTAACCAGGTTGCGAACTTCCCCTCTAAGTTGTACGCATTTCTGTCGCGATTGACAAGAGTCGAACTTGGTGTGGTAGTGAGGGACAGCAGCAGCAGCAAGTGTGTGTTCTGTATTCTCCTCCATCGTTTCTTCCATCGATGTCCTTCCTGCTTGCCCACAGGTTCCCCTGATATGTAGGGAGTCCCAAAAAACACTCTGAATTTCAGATTAAAAGGTCAAAGTGATCCTGAAATAATGAGAGATTTCCCATGGAATGCTGAATTTTCAGGATCTTTAGTGACGCGAATCCTGAGACCGCTGGGTCTTGAAAAACGAAAAAAAATTAGCCCTCGAGAGTCGAGACTCGAGACCAGCAACAGCGCGTCAGGGCGACTTGTCATCGTCAGACGAGTTTCTGGGGCGAGAACGAAAACCACACATGACTCGAGAAGCCAGCAGAAGCCTCCCCCTCCCACCCAACATAGCACTGTACAGTGCCCTAAGAACTGCCCTGAAGCTCCTAATGGCGGGTGCGAATGAGACCGTGATCGAAGCTGTACATAACGCACGGCATGTGCTGTGACATCCCAGGCATTGCCAGAAACAGCCGGCCGAATAGACGAGCAGACTTATCCCTGTGAGGAACCGCGTCACCTCGCGCGTCGCGACGGCTAGGAGGGCGCTCGCGCTGTCACGTTGTGTTATAGTACGCGGCATTGCCGCTCTCCGAGTGGTAGTTCTTACTTCGTTTCGACGTCGCCTCCTGTTGTCATTTCCACGCGGCCGTAGCTCGCACGCGTCGCGGCTGGCCGTCGTCGATGCAACAGGGAGTGAAGGTAGCTCTTCGCAAGCACTCTCCAACCGAACGAGGAAGGCGCTAAACCGTTACTAGTGCAACAAGCTCGAAACGAAAAAAACCCGACTTCACCGGCAACCGCGACGGCAGCACCATGATAATAGTGCGACGGCCGGCGCGCCGGGCGACGCACGCCGGGTGGATGCCGCTGACTGTGCCCCGGTTTCCTGCACGCTTGCCGTGGGTGGCAGTAGGAATGCTACTAGCCGTGGTGTCGACGATGGAGGCAGCAGCAGATACAGGTGGCCGCAAAGGTAATCCGCGTGACTCGGCGACCGTGTGTCGCGATGGTCTGACCATGCAATGGCTTTCGCACCGACCTCCGTTCCCCGCCGCCTCTCTTGCTCAATGCGTTGAGCCTCTCCTGTTCTGGGGTTTCCAGTTCGCTCCACTGCTGTGCACGCGCCGAGACTGTGTCACTGCCGCGCGCACTGTCGCTGCCGCTGACACCAACGCTGACACTGACACGGTTGTTGCCTCGGACGCTATCGCTGCGACTAACAGCGAAACACCATTCTTGCTGGTGTGCCCTCCAAAATTCGCCATGCACCGTGCAATCTTGCTCTCACCCTCCCCTCCCCACACTCCTCCTCATTCCCCACGCTCCCTCTCCCTTATCTCTCCGCCCCTCCACCAGCCCCCCATGCCCAGTCGTCCCAGTCGTCCCAGTCGTCCCAGTCGTCCCCATCATCCGTGGGCCTCCCAGCAGCGCCCACGAGGGCAGCAGCAGCATCCGCACCTCGCGCGCTCTACATCGTGCACCTTCGCTCCCCGCCCCCCGTCGCCGCGTATCACGGCGGCATTCCCGGCTTCCCCGCCACTGCTCTTCTCCAACCCACTCAGGCCAACACCCAATCAACACCCCCCTCCTCCTCCTCCTCCTCCTCCCAATTCCCTGGCCCAATCCCTGCATCCACCACTCCGCACCGCTCTGCATCTCGGCGGCGTGCGCGCATCAACCCGCGCCTGCCGTCAGTGCGCGCGTTCCAGCGCCTGCTGCAGCGCCAGCAGCGCCAGGTCGTCGCCGACCTCCGCCTTCGTTTTAAGAACATCCTCTACAGCTACACTCACGTGGCGAACGGGTTCGCGGCGGAGCTGACGGCGCGCGACGCGTGGCGGGTGCGGCGGCACCCCGCTGTGGGCAGCGTGACGCGCAGCGGGCGCTTCCGCCTGCTGACCACCGCGTCGCCCGCGTTCCTGCAGCTGCCGCCGTCGCTATGGGCCGCTGCGGGCGGGCAGAGCAGCGCCGGGGAGGACGTGGTGGTGGGGATCGTCGACACCGGCATCTGGCCCGAACACAGCTCGTTTGTCGATGACGTATGCCCCCACACCACCTCCTCCCCCCCCCCCTCCTCCCGCCCGCCTCCACCACCCTTCTTCTCCGGATCTCTTTCTCTCGAGACCATTTCACTCCTCTCTTTCTCTCCCTCTCAAGCGGTCCGTTCATTGATGTAACCTTAGGTATAATCTACGCACAGCGTTTAAGGTGAGTGCAACACAGTCAGCCACCGCTCCCCTAGGGGCTCCAGCACGGCGAAACAGCCCCCAGCGAGAGTGACTCCTCAGGTGAGCCTACGGGCAGGTGCTCCGCGTGCGCTGCTTCGTTTACCTTTTTCAAAGGGGTCCTCATTCCTTCTCAAGCGGTCCCTGTTATTGACTCATTGAACCTTGTACCTGTGCATTGATACCACAGTGCCCCACCCCCCTCGCCTTTACTCTGTGCCCACACCTACATTCGCCTAGCTTGCCTTCCGTCAAGCCATTCCCTTCGCCCCTGCCCTGCACCGTTGCCCCACGTCCCATCGCCCCTTCCCCCCGCCCCCCCCCCCCCCTCGCCTTCTTCCCCTCCCTCCCGCAGGGCTCGTACTCCCCGCCGCCCGCCACGTGGGTGGGCGCGTGCGAGAGCACGGACGACTTCCCTGAGACGGCGTGCAGCAACAAGGTGGTGGGCGCGAGGAAGTTCATAGAGGGGATGGTGAAGGAGAGCCGGGGAAAGGTGGACATGCAGGGGGAGTACCTGTCGCCCCGGGATTCTCAGGGCCACGGCACGTGGTGTGCGGGGTGAGCAGGGGTGGGCGCGTGGGGTGAGCAGGGGTGTTGTAGGGGACGTGTTGCGGAAGGGGGGAGGGAGCAAAGGAAGCACGTGTGGCGCTGCACAGAGTACGGTAGGGGTCAGGCGTCACTTCACTTCCCGCCAGTCCGCCGCACAATATCGCATGCTGCTCCCCCCCTTTCCTTCAAGGGAGCCATGGGTGTGGGTAAGTTCCTTGTTTCTTGTGTCCGCACAAATGCCCCACACCCATCCCTCCCATCGCCAGCCTCTCCCTCCCCCACCTTACCCCTTCCTTCCTGACAACGACCACCGCAGACCTTTCCCACCCACTCCTTCTCCCCAACTCGCCCCAAACACCTCTTTCCCTTCCTACTCCCCGCCCGCCCGACCCCCTCCTGCGCAGCAGCAGGCCAGGCACCCTAATCCCTTCCCGCCCGAATCCCCTCCCCCTCTCCCCCCTCTCCCACCTCTCCCCCCTCTCCCCTCCACACCCCTCCACTTCTCACTCGCCTCCCCCCACTCCCCTCCACTCGCCTCCCCTCCACTCCCCCCCACTCCCCTCCACTCGCCTCCCCTCCACTTCCCCCCACTCCCCTCCACTCCCCTCCCCTCCACTCCCCTCCACTCCCCTCCACTCCCCTCCCCTCCACTCCACTGCCCTCCACTCCCCTCCCCTCCACTCCACTCCCCTCCCCTCCCCTCCCCTCCCCTCCCCACCCCTCCCCACCCCTCCCCACCCCTCCCCACCCCTCCCCTCCCCTCCCCTCCCTTCCAGGGCAGCAGCGGGGATCGCAGGGGTGCCTCTGGGCGACACAGGCCAGACAGCGAGCGGCATGGCGCCGCGGGCACGCATAGCGATGTACAAGGTGTTTTGGCGCAGCGGGGGGCAGGTGTGGGCCACGGAGGCGGACATCAACGCCGCTGTCAACGCCGCCGTGGCGGATGGCGTGGACGTGCTCAGCCTGTCGCTGGGGAGCTTCGCTTCCTCGAGAACCTACTTCCATGACCTCGTCTTCCTCAATGCGCTCGCTGTGAGTGCTCGTCTACTTCGCTGTGGCACAGAAGGGGGAGGGGAGGGGGAGGGGGGAGGGGGGAGGGGGGATGGGGTGGGAAAGGGGATGGGGGAGGGGCGACGGCAGTGGGGGGGTTACGGAGTTGTGGGTGATGGGTGATGGGAGGTTATGAGGGGCTTGCGGGGCCTCTCACAATCTCCTCACGTGCGTTGCCATGGCTCCTGGGAAGGAGTTTGAATAAGGTGTCCTTCCGCCCGCGTTGCCATGCCTCCCTGCTGCTGCAAGCGCATGTTCGTGCTGCTGCGTGCGGTGCAGCAGAGCAGATTCGTGTAGGCCATTCGCATCTGCATTGTAAGTGCATTATAAGGGCACTTGATAGTGCATAAAGTGCTCCTGAACAGGTAAGGTTGCTGACAGGTATGTGTGTGTGCTGGAGAGAAGCTCTTGCTGCGAGTCATGTGACGGCATGAGAGGGATCGCATGTCCCCTTCTCTTCTCATCTCATCCTGCATGCCGCAGCCCCCCCTTGCTCTCTCGCTCTCCCGTCCTCCCTCACCACCTCTCGCCTCCTTGTCCCTCCGGTCCCATGTGTGTGCGTGCAACCCCACCCCGCGCGCCTGCCGATCATCCACCAGGCGGGCGTGGTGACGGTGTTTGCAGCGGGCAACAGTGGCGCCCCCAGAGGCAAGCCGTCCACGTACCGCACTCTCTCCAACTTCTCGCCGTGGTACATCACCGTGGGCGCCAGGTGAGGCGCCACCACCGCTGCTATGTTCTAGCTGTCCCGTACTTGTGGCTGTTGTGACAGGCCTCAAAGCCCCTCCCTCTCCAGCTACTCTCCGTGGTATGGTACATCACCGTGGGCGCCGGGTGAGACACCAGCAGCTCATTTTTTTATCATTTTTTTCGTCGACTCAAAAGTTGCCGCCCTTCTCTCCTCTCGCTGTCCCGTACTTCTGGTTGTGACGGACCACAGAAGCTCTTTCCAACTTCTCTCCATGGTAAATACGATTTTGGCACGGCATGGCATGGCATACATTAAAGACCAGCAGGGCGTCTATCCTCTCGGGTTTAGCCAAATCCCGATTCAGTTTTCTCTGCAACCGCGCCCCTCGCTCTCTTGCCTCCCATGCTCAAAGTGTCTTCCCCACTGTGTGCTTCAATCCAAGCAGCACTGCCCTCGACTCTCCTCTCTCTTCTACCTGTCTGACCCATATTGGTCTCAACCGACCACTCGCTTAAACTCCCTTCCATCCTCCAACTCACGTCACTTCTCCCCTCCCCTCCCCTCTTGTCTTCCCCTCTCTCCCCCTCCCCCCTCGCTTCCCCGAGTCAGCACAATCAGCCGTGTGTCGGCCATAGACGGCACTGCTACAGCCTTCTCCACGTCCCAACCTCCTGTCACCGCCATGCACCATGCTGCCTCCGCTGCTCGCCCAGCCACTGAAGGCTCTGCTGTAATGCACACGGTCACTGCAGTGCCCCCAAATGGCACCACCGGCGTTAACGGTGGTGTTGCGGGATCCCTGTAAGCTGTGCTATGCTACGCTAGGGTAGCCAGCCAGCACTAGGCACTCCTGTGCAGTGCACCCCCTCGGGGGGCCTGCCTGTTCTTTTCCGCAGCTCCTGGCTGCTCTCTTTGACTCCTGCATTCATCCATATCACTCTGTCCCTTCCCCCCTCATGCAAGCAACGTGCACCTCATGCAGCATGGTAGGGTGAGCTTTGATGATGTCTTGTATGCCTCTTCGCCCATACATGCAACCCCCCATATGGTCTCATCTCCCCACATTCTCCGGCACCAGTCTCCAGAATTCCTCCACATGCCACATGCCTAACCCCCCGTCCCCATCCCCATCCCCATCACCACATTCACTGCCCGCCCCCTACCAGCACTGGCATCACCACCTTTGAGATCCCCGGGTCGCCAGCAGAGGCGCCAGTCATCTCCCCCTCCTCCTCCTGCGGGCCCCTCGTCCCCCTCGCCTCGCCCCCCTCCGCCCCGCGCCCCACCAATGACATCCTCAAGCCCGACATCATCGCTCCGGGGGTCGAGCTCTGGGCCGCGTTCCCCCCGCCGGACCGCGCCACCTCCACATCGTCAGGCTACCTCGCGCTGCTGTCCGGCACATCAATGGCGGCGCCACACGTCGCGGGCATCGCTGCCCTCATCTTGCAGCAGCGGCCGGGCTGGTCCCCGGCGCAAGTCATGTCTGCTATGATGACCACCGCCGCGGTTACCAGTAACCGCCGGCTGGCCATACGGAATAGCGATGGGGGGGATGCGAACCCGTGGCAGATGGGAGCTGGGCATGTGAATCCGGAGAAGATTATGGATCCCGGTCTGACATTGGACGCCAATGCGAGTACTTACGTCAATTTCCTGGCCGGGCAGAGCTATTCGCGCGCGAAGAGGCAGTTCCAAGGCACGGTTCTGCGGCCAATTCGCGCGTACAATCTGAACCGTCCGATTATCTCAGTGTCACAGATCCGACGGAGAGTTACGGTGAAGCGGACGGTTACGAACGTGGCGGATTACGCATCGACTTATTTTGTGACTGTAAAGGTGCCGAGGAGAGTGAGTGTAAGTGTGTCGCCGGATGCATTCTCGATTGAGCCAGGTGAGAGTGTGGAGATAACAGTGAGGTTTACTGTAAGAAGTACAAGCAGATACTTCTCTTATGGTAGTCTGACACTGTTTGATGGATCGGGCCATGTTGTTAGGATTGTGCTGGCCGTTCAACCATGGAAAACACGTTGAGGCTGTGGCTTGGCTTGGCTTGGCTTGGTTGGTTGGCACCTTAAAGAATGTTTGGCATATCATGCCATAGCTCTCTGTCACAAAGGCTAGGTAGCTAGGAAGGGTAGGCGTGTCAAAAGACTAGCTTAGCTAGGAAGCCATAGAATGGCACAAGGTTTAGCTAGGAGCTAGGAGGAGCCATGAGAACGGCGAGAGGTTTTAGGTGCTAGGAAAGTTGAGGAGAGAAAAGAGAGTTGGATTAGAAGAGAGGGGAGTACAAGGAGGGGTTTGTACCCCCTACAGAAAGGTTCAGTAACAACCTACCAAGCCTATATTAAATTATAACTTATATAATTTGAACACACCCCCTAGGCTTGGTAGTCACATGCCCACACACACCCACACCCCCTAACCTAGCACCCCCATTCCAGCCACAGTGACAGCGACTCTAGGTCGGTCGACCCACGGTGCGTGAGGCGGCGACGTCGACCGCAGGGGCTGCGGCGGCGACGGCAGCAGCGGCGGCAGTGTCGACAGCGGCGGCGGCGGCGGCGTGCGGCTGCGTGGCCCCGACGCAAGCGGCGACAGCGGCGGCTTCGACAACAGCGGCAGCGGCGGCGGCACCCGCACCTCTCGGTGACGTGGCCAGGCCCCGCGACGGTGGGACTGCCGGCGGGAGTCAGCCGTCGTCTGCGGAATGGAAGAGGGCACAGGGGAAGGAGGGGGGTGGGGGGGGGGGGGGCGCCACAGGCTGACATGCGGGCGGCCGGTCTAGCGGCGCCACAAGCGTCACGCGGCCGGCTGCAGCCCGACGACGCCATCATGGAGCGGCGTCGATGCCGCAGCGGGGCGTCGACGTTGCGACGGCAGCACGACGTCGCCGTTACGCCGACCGCGCGCTGTCGCGTAGACGCCGCGGCAGCGCGACGGCGCCGTCACGTCGCGACAGCATCTTGACGCGACGGCGGAGCTGCGGCACGACGGCGCGGCCACAGCAGCTGGACGCGGGCGCCATGGACGTCGACGGCGGCGCCGCGGCACGACGACGCGGCCACAGCAGCTTGACGCGGCCGCCATGGCAGCGCGAGATAGAGAGAGAAACGAGCACGCAGCGGAAACGCGAGGAGCAGGCCCACACGGAACGAACTGCTCTGATACCATGTCAAAAGACTAGCTTAGCTAGGAAGCCATAGAATGGCACAAGGTTTAGCTAGGAGCTAGGAGGAGCCATGAGAACGGCGAGAGGTTTTAGGTGCTAGGAAAGTTGAGGAGAGAAAAGAGAGTTGGATTAGAAGAGAGGGGAGTACAAGGAGGGGTTTGTACCCCCTACAGAAAGGTTCAGTAACAACCTACCAAGCCTATATTAAATTATAACTTATATAATTTGAACAAGGCGGCCATGGAATGGCGTGAGGGTTTAGCTAGAAGGAAGTTGAGAAAAAAGAGATCTAGAATAGAAGAGAGAGGGATACAAGGAAGGGTGTTGTACCCTCTACAGTAAGTTTCAGTAACGATTACCAAGCCTACAATTATATAACATATATAATTAAATACACCCCCTACGCTTGGTAGTGTTGTGGTATGTTTCATACTTAGCATTTCTGTAAGTCGCTTATCGATAGATAGTGTCGAATCCTACTGTAGAAGATAAGTCCGTAGGATGACGTCAGCAAATAGCGCTCATCATGGGACAGTCGATTCAGTCACGCGAATAGTCGCACCTCTTCATTATCGTCTAGGGTGTTAGACAGAGAGAATGAATGGACTAGTGTGAGAAACCTAGAACATGTACCTGTTGGGGTTGTACTCACTAGAAGCACACACCTAGTCTAGCCTATAACTTCTACATACAGCATATGTATAAGTTGACACACCCCCTAGGCTAGAGAAGGGGTGGCGCTAAGCAAGAAGCACACATTGTGACACGACTTTCAGAGGAGTATGCAGTGCAGTCGTCATATCATTTCATATCTCAATGATACAGCACACTCATAGTTAGAAGTACATGGATGTTCTAAAGGAGGAAGCTAAACAGGCAGATGCCGACTAGGAAAATGGGAGAGGGGGGTGGGAGCAATCAGAGAAGAGAAATGAGAATGAGACTAGGTGGCAAGTCCATCAGTTCTGCGAGAATGTGAAGGAGCTTGTCTCCTTTACAGCAAAACTCCTCTTCAAATCGAATCACAATCTGTTATTTTTTTATTCCAAAAAAAATATTCATATCTCAGGGTGGCACTACTAGTCCAACCACTAGGTAGGGGTCCTGAGACCAGTCAGCAAGAGTACAAGCAAGACTAAAGCAAGCCAGGGCGGCACTACTAGTCCAGCCACTAGAGGTAAGGCCACAAGGCCAGTCAGACAGGTATATATAATAGAGAGTACACAATCAGGGTCCTAACAGGTGAGTAGCTACAGGAACAAGACCAAGCTGTACACAGTGCCGCTGATGATCTTTAGGCGCAAGCGCCTCAGTAAAGATATCAGCTGTGTTGGCACCTGAGGCCAAGTGAACTACACGGGCCTGGCGACGCTGCTGTAGCTCGCGCAGGAGGAAGTACTGGAGCTGGATATGCTTCGCTCTGCCCTCAAGTCGAGGCTCCTGACACAGGAGAATCATGGCCCTGTTGTCAGCGTACAGGACCGGGGCAGAGCTAGGCCGCTCACCTAAGTCTGTGAGCAAGAAGGTCAGCTAGCGGAGCTCCTGTGCCGCCATGGCACCGGTGTAGATCTCAGCCTCACAGCTGGACTGAGCAACAGACGACGAGCGAGTGGATCTCCAAGAGATAGCACCCGAACCAAGGCTAAAACAGTAGCCCTGCGACGACCTGAGTGTCTCAGACTCGTCTGCACAAGAAGCGTCTGTGTGCCCAGTGAGGACCACCGGCCTGCGTCCTCCTAGCACTAACCCCATGCCTGATGTACTTGCTAGATATCGCAAAACCCTCTAAGCGGCCGACCGGTGCTGTGGTCGGTGTCTACCAGTGGCCACAAAGCGAACCAAGATGCTGAAAGGGTATGCGAGATCTGGGCGAGTGCAAGTCATCAGGTACATGAGGCTACCCACCAGCTCTGCGTAGGGGCCGCTAGGCTCTACTGGCTCCTCAGGAAAGGGAGTGGAGAGCCCATGGTCTATGGGTAGAGGTGTGGGCTGTGCGGAGGAGAACTGAAGACCGAACCTCTGAAGGACCTGACGCACCAAGTGTGACTGTATCAGAGTGATGGTGCGTGCTGCTCTGTCCCTAGAGATCTGCAGGCCAAGATAACGACGCAGTTCTCCAAGTTCAGTGCAGGTGTGTCTCTTCAGCGGCTCGGCCTTCACGGAGGCCAGTGCGTCCCTGTCAGCAGTAGCGAAGACCAGGTTGTATACGTAGACAAGGATGTAGAACAGAGTCTGGCCGGAACGCACAAACAGCGAGGGGTCAGCAGAGGACGGAAAGAACTACAGGTCTGCTAGCATGGCACGCAGCGTGTTGTGCCACTCTGGGGGAGCCTTCCGCAGGCCGTAGACCGGGCGCCTAAGAAGCCACTGGGTCCCAGGGGGGAAGGTACCAGTGAAGCCCTGTGGTCAGTGCAGGTAGACCTGCTCGTGTAGGCTGCCCTGAAGAAAGGCAGTAGAGAAGTTGAGGGAGCGAAGCTCGTAGTCACGCTGTGCTTCTACGTGTAGCAGCACCCGAAGAGTGGTCATCTTCGGGGTCGGGGCGAAGGTCTGGAAGAAGTCAACCCCCTCGCGCTGGCTGAAGCCTCTGGCCACGTAGCGTGCCTTGAAGACAGGTGGCTCTCTAGGGGGGCGCTTCACCTTGAAGAGCCACCGACCATCGACTACGTTCACCCCAGGCGCAGGAACTGCATCGACGTAAGTGCCGGTGGACCTCCAAGATGCCATCTCCTGCTCCATGGCAGCTATCCATTGAGAGGCCCAATGTCCCGAGGTGGCCTCAGCGTAGGTGCGAGGGGTCGGGATGTCGAAGGCGTCTGGGTCACTCTCAGGGACTAACAGCATGGAGCAGAGATGGGGAGCAGCCTCGGAAAGGAAAGCAAGCTCGTACTGCCTGTCCTCTAGGATGTCACTGCCAAGGGCAGGAGCACCCCCGGCGGACGGAGGACGGGCAGGGTCACAGACCAGAGCGGTAGCGTAGTCAAGGCGGCGGGTAGAGGGGAAGTCAGCGACAGCAGCGACAAGCGCGTCAAGGTGCGAGATAGGAACAGACGGGTCTGTAACAAGAGAGGCAAGAACCCGAGGGACAAGGGGACGAGCGGCACGAAGGTAGTCATACAGCGGGGGAGGTGCAACAACAAGCGACGGGAGGAGGGGAGGACGAGACGAGTGGGAATGGAGCAACATATGGTAAGAGTGCAAGATAGGAGAGACGGGACGAGCACGGGAGGGACGGCGAGACCAAACGTGGGACGGAGGTGTGTTAGTATTAAGGACGGAGTCTAGGTGAACTTGGGAGCTAGAATTACTCAAAATATGTATCCGAAATTCTGGACAGAAATGTTGTCTTCACAAAAAACAACGTCGACGAAAAAATAGACGTTGGAATGTCGCGAAAATCGGATATGTTATAACTTGTAATCTTAGCTACCGTGATCAATTTCAATCACGTCGATTGATGGAGTATTCTTGACGCTATGGCTTTCGACACACTGGGGGGTAAGCTGTAGGAGGAGAACTTAACTCAATCTCAAAAGTTTTAATCAAAGTTCAAGAATTTCCCAACCAATTTGCAGGTGTTACAATAGAGTGACAAATTTCCCCAACCCCAAAGGTCCCAACTCCATATAGAGTCACCCCACAACTTCACTTTGTAACCGCCGCAATTGTAACGCAAGCTCATGAACTTTGAATCTTCATAGCTTTCGCGTTCTTGCTCCGATTGAAGGGATTCTTGTTGCGTCGGAAAGATCTTATCAAGATCTATCATCACAAAATACCTGCTCAAACAAAATAACACAAAACACATTCCCAAACTCCAGAACACACCACACAAATTCGTTCACACAGAGTCAAACCATACATGCGAATTGAAAAAAGGGATAGGAGGCAGACAGAATGTGATAGCATATGATGACATCACACAACAAGGTGTAGGGTCAGGAGACAATGGAGGGGACACAAAAGGGGAACGAGGAGGAAGACGGGCCGGAGACGAGTCAGGCGGTGGGAACACAGGGCCGGAGACAGGAAGGTGAGAAGGTGGTGGGGGAGACACCGGCGAGCGGTCGGGGGAGGGAAGGACGAGCAGGCGAAGAGCGGAGACCGGCGGCGACGGCTCAACGGCTGCTGCGGCGGCTAGTGCTCAACCCGCGAACCGGCAGGGGCACGACGGCCGCTGGGAGAACACTCAACAGCAGCACCCCCAGAACCAACACCCTAAGAGCGAGAACCTTCTCCAGCACCGGCGGCACCCCCGGGCCCGCCGGGACAGACCACACCAGGGGGCCGCAGGACGAACACCCTCCTCAACGCCAGCACCCCCAGAGGCCAAGAGCGGCAGCGGCGGCAGCGGCGGCGACGGCGGCGGCGGCTGCGATGGCGGCGGCGGCTGCGACGATGGCGGCGGCAGTGGTGGCGGCTGCGACAGCGGAGGCAGAGACACCGGGGAAGGGGGACGCGGCAAGGACAGGCCGGGGGGACCACCAGAGTCAGCAGACTCCTCAACGGGGAGTGACATGGGAGACACCAGACGGGGCAGGACGAGGCGGGAGGGGAGCAGGGGCTACCGGGAGAGAGGGAGCAAGGAACAAGGGGTGGGGAACCGGGAGACCTCGGTGAGGGAAGCGACGGTAGGAGACAGACTCGTCAAAGGTGACGTCACGAGAGTGAAGGAAGCGGTGAGACTGCGGGTGGTAGAACAGCTAGTCAGACGAGTCGAGGGGGAAACCGAGGAAGACACAGGGGACAGTGCGGGCAGTGAGCTTGTCCGTGCCAAAGGCACGAACGTGAGCAAGACAGCCCCAGACGCGGAACGCAGACGCGTCACCGGGGGACCCGGTCCAAAGGAGGGTCGGCGAAACTCGCGACCGCTGGGAGCGTGGCCTCAGGTTAAGCTGCTGAACAGCGTAGCGGACAGCGAACGACCACAGAAAATGGGGGGCATCGGCATAAATCATGGAGGTACGAGCAACCTCCATGACCAAGCCGATGCGGCGCTCAGAAACCCCATTCTGCTGTGGCGAGTCCGGCAAGGTGTACGACTGGGTGATGCCCTCCGCACGACAGAACTGTCCAAGCTGACCAGAGGCGCCACGGTCAGAGTGGAGACACAACACGAGGAGACCGCGGTGAAGACGCGCAGCCACAACCCACGGTTGAAGAACGTCGGGCACGCCGGCCTTCCGCTCCAGGGAAAACACCGTGGTGTAGCGCATGTAGTCGTCGACGAGCACAAGAAAGTAGCGCTCACCGCGTGGTCTAGGGACAGGGGCTGGGCCCCAAACGTCCAGGTGCATGGTCTCAAGGCGAGCAGTAACTGGGCGAAGCGAGGAGGAGTGAGGGGCGCGACGGAGCCGGCCGTCGACGCAAGTGCAGGGAGCGACAAGGGAAGGCCTAAGACAAGACCGTGCTGAGACATGTGCCCCAGGCGCGGGAGAGCAGGGTGACCTAAGCGGTGGTGCCACAGAAGGGACGGGTGTGTGAGGGACCGACACGAGCAGTGTCCTAGGAGGATGCACCAACCGGGGGGGAAGCGGTGTCGAGGGTAAACAGACCGGACACTGGGTCCCGGGGGAACGTCGCAAGGGGGGAACCTGAGACTGCCTCGGTACAGATAGCGAACCGCTCGTGCCCAGGGAACGTAGTGGTGACGCCGAGGTCCTGAAGACGGCCGACACCAACCAGGTTCCTGGAGAACGAGGGAACGTGGAGGCCTGTAAGAGAGCCCGAGGAAACGGCTGGATAGGGAAGGGAAGTGGAGCTGCAAGCGACGACAGGACCAGTGGAGGGGTCAGTGAGAGCGACAACAGCAGGCGCAGCAAGCAGCGTGAGTGTGGAGCGGTCGCGAAAGAAACAGGTAGAAGCACCGGAGTCGAGAGTGAAGGACAGCGAGGCAGTAGCGGAGGCCGAGAACGGAGCCGGTGCAGAAACTAGGCTGGGCAAACTAGGCAGTCCTACGCCTGACGCAGCAGGGGAGGCTAAGCTAGACAAGGGTGCTACGCCTAAACTAGAGTACACAGGGTAATAAGATCCAGCAACACTAGAAGCGTCAGCATACAAGGCATGCAAAGCAGCACCTATCTGATCCATATCTAAATCAAAGATCAGCACGCCCTGGCGAAGTAGGCTGTGCCAGTCAAGGAGGTCCGAGGCCGGGCCAAAGCGACGACGAAAGAGATCGTCGAGGCGGCGGAAACAGCGAGCGGTCGGGTGCGGGCGGCGGCACAGAGTGCCGCGTAGAGGCCCGGTCTGAAGCTGGTACTGGCAGGTCACACCAACGGAGCTGCCGGTAGACGCCAAGCTGCACAGGCCGCCACCACGGCCACCACCTACGGAGGTGCCGGGCCAACCCGGGGGGAGGCGAGCCCACGGCTGAGGCTGGGACAGCTGCTGCGATGACTGCGACTGCTGCGACGGCTGCGTCGGCTGCTCCTGCTACAGGGGCGACGGCTGCTGCTCCCGACTAGCTGAGGCAGTCCCCTTAATAGAACCACTGTCCCCGGTACCACCACTACTACAACCTGCTCCACCACCATGCCCTCCCTGGCGGCCACGACCGACGTGGCGCGAGCGCTGCTGCGGGTGTACCGCAGCTGCAGTCTCGGTCAGAGGGGTCGTAGTGGCGACCGCAGCCGAAACGTCAGTAAATGTGCACTAGGAGGGGGCACAGCTGTGAAAGATACAGACAGTGTTAGTATTAAGGACGGAGTCTAGGTGAACTTAGGAGCTAGAATTACTCAAAATATAAATTCGAAATTCTGGACAGAAAAGTCGTCTTTACAAGAAACGACGTCGACGAAAAATTAGCCACTGGAATGTCGTGAAAATCGGATATGTTGTAGCGTGTTCTCAATTTGAATCATGTTGATTGATGGAGTATTCGCGACGCTATGTCTTTCGACGCACTGGGGGGTAAGCTGTAGGAGGAGAACTTAACTCAATCTCTAAAGTTCAATCAAAGTTCAAGAATCTCACAAGGAATTAGAGGAGCACGAGAAGGGTTGGGATAGAAGAGAGGGATGAGAGGGAATGTCCTTAGAGAGTCCCCAACCAAGAAAACCCCATAAGCACAAAGATTCTCCCCCTATAGGAACCCCAACTTTGACATTTGTCCCTTCCCAACCAATCCATCCAAGTTGGTCACCCTTGCCAACCTAGCTTGATTGTTCCCAATCAATTTGCAGCTGTTACAGTAAAGTGATAAATTTCCCCAACCCCAAAGGTCCCAACTCCATATAGAGTCACCCCACAACTTCACTCGGTAACCGCCGCAATTGTAACGCAAGCTCATGAACTTTGAATCTTCATAGCTTTCGCGTTCTTGCTCCGATTGAAGCGATTCTCGTTGCGTCAGAAAGATCTTCTCAAGATCTATCATCACAAATACCTGCTCAGACAGAATAACACAAAACACATTCCCAAACTCCAGATCACACACCACACAAATTCGTTCACAGACAGTCAAACCATACATGCGAATCGAAACAAGGGATGGGAGGCAGACAGAATGTGATAGCATATGATGACATCACACAACAATCTCCCCCTCTGGCTGCCAACCATCATCCACCATACCAACATCTCAAGCATGCATACTCAATGCACACTTATCCCAACAAGCTTCATGCCCTTCCAATGATCCGTCTCCGCCAGACGCTTAGTGAAAATATCTGCTGCGTGCTGATGGGTCTTCACTATCTCCAGCCGCACCTCCTTATGAAGAAGTCTCCTCACCCAATGCCACTTAGGCCTTATGTGTTTTGTCAGCCCATGCAGACAAGCATTCTTGGCGAGCTTCACAGCAGACTCATTGTCACAAAAGATCACCGTTGGCTCCTTCTGACCAACTCCCAACTCCTCCAACAAGCGTCTTAGCCACACCACTTCCTGGGCCCCATGGTGTAAGGCCATGTACTCAGTCTCACATGAGGACAATCCCACCTCATTGTGCTTCTTGCTACGCCAGCTCACAGCACCACCTCCTAACAAGCACACATAACCCCCAATGCTGGTGCCATCCGTTTTCACTAAGTTGAAGCTAGCGTCAGTACCTTAGGCTGAGGAATTGCAGCCCAATAGCACAATGCAATCTCATCTTCCTCAATCTGATCAACCACACTCCCAGCCTGCACCACATTTGGCTTGCCTCTTCCCCCATAGGTCAGCCTCACCGGAGGACGTACATCCCTCCTAGGTCGCTCAAGCGGGTGTGGAACTCGAAGTGGAGACTCATGCTGCTGCTGCTGCTGCTCCACTTCAGCTGCTCCCCCTTCCTCAGTCACCCAAGACATCTCCTCTTCAGACACTGCAACCTCCACCTGTCTTGAAGGGATTACGGCAGGATTACGCTAGATATAGCGCGCCAGTACATCCCGAGCCTGGTCGGTGATATAATTATAATAACAGGATAAACCAAAGGATAATGGAAAATGAGGAATAGGAAACCAAATGAGATGAGATAAAGACCAAATGAATGAGGATAAAAAGAGGAATGAAATACAAAGGAAATATGGAAAGGGGAAAATAGTGTAACGGAGTCGTACTCTCACACCCGAGGAGAGTGCGTGCCCCCTCCTGCAGGGTCCTGTTGAACCTCTCAGCCACGCCATTCTGCTGCGGGTTGTAGGGCACTATCAGTTGATGTTGGATCCCCGTCCTCTTCAACTCCCCCTCAAAATCAGCTCCAATGAACTCTCCACCATTATCACTGCGGATCACCTTCACCTTGTGTCCGCATTCCCTCTGAGCTCTAGGCATCCACTCCTTAAGGACAGCCGCTGCCACCTCCCCCTTGCTCTTCAAAGGGTAAACCCACACTGCCCGAGTGTGGTCATCCACAATTGTCAAGAAATAGCGCCTGCTTGAGAGGGAAGGGGCTCTTGTGGGCCCCACCACATCCATGTGCACGAGTGCAAGTGGGGTCTTGGCTGGTCCTGTAGCACTGTTGAAGGGGAACTTGGAGAAGTTGGTCTCCAAGCATGTAGGGCAGCTCCCAATCTCCTTTACTCCCTCTTTGACCTCCAATCCTTTCAGGCTCCCATCCTTCACCAACGTCTGCAGCATAGGGAAGTTCACATGACACAGCCTCTCATGCCATGTCTCCCAATCGGCCTCACCACTCCTTGATGAAGCCTTAGCCTATGCCGCACTCGCATCCACACCAGCAAGCACCTCACCATGTGTCTGCTGCTGCTGCACTTTCTTAACTGCTTCCAGGACCCCATCAGTTGGTGCAGTTGCATCTCCTCCTGCATTTGCCTTTGCCGCTGCTGCCATTGCTGTTGTTGGAGTCTTCCCATTCCAAGGGATGATGGGCAGCTGCCATAGGTCCTTGATGCAGCTGGTCTCCTCTTCCAGACTCCACAGCACCATCTTCCCAAGCTTAGCACGGCAGCTTGTTGGTCCAAAGGTCACTCGGCCTTGCTCTTTTGCAGTCGCCGCACAGAGAGAAGGTCAGCAGACAAACCTTCAACCAGCAAAACATTCCCAAGCCCCACAAGTTCCCCATTAGCTCCCTTAACCTTGGCATTCCCAACACCAATGACAGGGAGCAAAGCACCTGACGCTGCTGCCACATACTTAATCTTCCCAGGGGGTTTTACCTCATCAAGCAAATCTGCCCGTGGGGTCATGTGACTGGTGCAACCAGAATCAATCACCCAGTGCGTGAGAGGGTGCATCACAACCTTTCCCACTGATCCCACATCACCCTCATGCCCATGCACATTCTCAACCATAAGAAACATCCCAGGATAGGTATTACCTTGTGCACCTTCACCTTGTGCACCTGAGCCTTGCATAGCGCCACCTTGTGAGCGTTCACCACTTGGCGGCTTCATGCCTGGAGGTGCCCATCCCTCCGTCCTGCTGAAGCACTTGAACCAAGGATGCCCGACCTTCTTGCAGTACCAGCAGGTGCCCTCCATTCTGTTACTCCCCCTGCCACTAGAGCTCCCATGCCCCTCATTATAGTCACCTCGGCCTCTACCTCTGCCAAAGCTCCTCCCACGGCCTCGGCCTCTCCAACCCTCTCTTCCTCTACCGTGCCTTTCAGCTCCATACCCCTCAGCAGTCTTAGTGGAAGCACCACCTCCCACATGGCGTCTGCGGAAGTCCTCGTGCAGAATCTGCTACCTTAGCCACTCAGGTGTCCATTGATCTTGCTGAGAATTGAGGGTGGGGATGAGGTTGTCCCAAGAGTTGTCCAACACCGAGATGATCTTGGTGCACTGCTGCAGCTGAGATACACTGCTCCCCGCTGCTGCCATCCTTGCATAGGTGTCATTGATCTTGTTAAGGACCGGCTTCACATCGTCCCCTGGTCGCATGGAGATGGCAGCAAGTTCCTTCTCGAGCACAATCACCATCGGGAGAGTGTTGGACTGAATCACATCGCGTAGTAGTTTCCACGCCCTTGGACCCGAATCATCCGCTTCCACAAGATCCTCGATGTGCTCGAACATCTCCTTGTTGACCGATTGAAGGATGAGGTCGAAAAGCACCGTGTTTTTCTCAATCCACCGTTCACGTGCTTCGCCTTCTTCCGGCATCTTCTCTTCCCCAACAGCAATCTTCAGTAGCTTATAGCGTTTGAAGGCACTCCTCATCCGCCCGCTCCATTCCTCATAGTTGGTGCCATCCAAAGCTTCAACTTTTGATGGCGGTGGCTCACTTGTCTTCTCAGGTACAGCTCCTCTTCCATTAGCATCTCCTCCTCTCTCATTCATCTTTTCCTTGAGAAATTGACGAATTTCAGCTCCCCTTTGCTGTCCACCCCCAGCTCCCTCGATATTCTCACAAGTGTCGGCGTCCACGAAATTTCGGCAGAGTTTCCCCTTAGCGGAAGACACATCCAACCTTTAGAACACCACTTAGGCACACCCACAGGCCATGGTGGGTCAAGAAGGGTCTTCAAACTTCTGTAGACTCCTCTTAATGTCCTTAATATCGCTCTGATGCCACTTGTTAGGATTAAGGACGGAGTCTAGGTGAACTTAGGAGCTAGAATTGCTCAAAATATAAATCCGAAATTTTGGACAGAAAAGTCGTCTTCACAAGAAACGACGTCGATAAAAAATTAGCTGCTGGAATGTCGCGAAACTCAAATATGTTGTAGCTTGTAGTCTTAGCTACCGTTCTCAATTTGAATCACATTGATTGATGGAGTATTTACGAGGCTATGTCTTTCGACGCACTGGGGGGTAAGCTGTAGGAGGAGAACTTAACTCAATCTCAAAAGTTCAATCAAAGTTCAAGAATCTCACAAGGAATTAGAGGAGCAAGAGAAGGGTTGGGATAGAAAAGAGGGAAGAGAGGGAATGTCCTAAGAGAGTCCCCAACCAAGAAAACCCCATAAGCACAAAGATTCCCCCCCTATAGGAACCCCAACTTTGACATTTGTCCCTTCCCAACCAATCCATCCAAGTTGGCCACCCTTGCCAACCTAGCTTGATTGTTCCCAACCAATTTGCAGCTGTTACAAGGGGACGTCTGCAAGATGCTCCAGCACTTGCAAGCAGATGACACGAGGCCGGAGACCCGAGGAACCGTGCCGAGCAGAAGACACGGAGCTGCAGGAGCCGGGCAGGCAATGGGAGCTACGGGTCGCAGGAGCCGGGCAGGCGTATCGGGGCCGGGCAAGCGCTGAATGGGGCTAGGCGGGCGGTGTGGGACGGGCGGGCGCAATAGGCCGGTCGGGCGCTAACAGGGGCCGGGCGGGCGCTGTGGAGGGGCCGGGCGGGCGGTAGAGGGGGCCGGGCGGGGGCTAGGAGAGGCCGGCTAGGAGCGGGCGCGAACGGCCAGGGGGCCGGCTAGGGGCGGGCGCGACGGCCAGGGGGCCGGCTAGGAGCGGGCGCGAACGGCCAGAGGGCCGGCTAGGGGCGGACGCAACGGCCAGGAGGCTAGCTAGGGGCAGGCGTGACGGCCAGGGGGCCGGCTAGGGGCGGGCGTGACGGCCAGGGGGCCGGCTAGGGGCGGACGCGACGGCCAGGGGGCCGGCTAGGGGCGGACGCAACGGCCAGGGAGCCAGCTAAGGGCGTGCGCGACGGCCAGGGGGCCGGCTAGGGGCGGACGCGACGGCCAGGGGGGCGGCTAGGGGCGGACGCGACGGCCAGGGGGCCAGCTAGGGGCGGGCGCGACGGCCAGGTGGGCCGGCTAGGGGCGGACGCGATGGCCAGGGGGCCGGCTAGGGGTGGACGCGACAGCCAGGGAGCCAGCTAGGGGTGGGCGCGACGGCCAGGGAGCCGGCTAGGGGGTGACGGGACGGCCAGGGGGGAGGGGGCCAGCTAGGGACGGGTCACGAGGGCGGCTAGGGTCTAGGGCGGAAGCGTGGGCAGGTGAGAGGAACCTAACCTACTCATGATACCATGTTAGAAAGAGAGAATGAATGGACTAGTGTGAGAAACCTAGAACATGTACCTGCGGGGGATGTACTCACTAGAAGCACACACCTAGGCTAGCCTATAACTTCTACATACAGCATATGTATAAGTTGACATATGGCGCATAGCCTGATAGTGACGAACGGATACATTAGCGAATAGGTACTTTCCTAGAGCTAAAAATCTTTGTTCTGTCTTTTTTATTATTAACCTTGAGATTTCAACTTTGAGACTTAACTTCCACAGAAACATATACTCAGGTTCACTCTTATAAGACTTCCGCTGTCTTACTAGTCTATCATTCCACTAAAGATCCTAGGCTAACACTTGAGGTTTTCCAAGTGTTCGTGTTTGCAGATTCTATACTTAGTCTCCTGCAACACCTATCAAAATATGACATGGTATGAGAGCTATCTAGAATTAAGACTACTGTCAACTATGACTGGTTCATCACCAGCACCGTCTGCCGGATCAACTTCCGGAACTACTGGAGTACATGTCTCCACGACCGCCACTGGTCTCTCAGCCTCTGGACCGTTTCCACCGGCTTATGCGCATATCGGTATGCAGCAGCAGCAACAGCAAAATCCGTCTTCTGTCAGTACTCCAGGGATGTCATCAACTACCCCTACAGCACAGCACCAACAAACACAGACAACAGCACAACAACAAGCATCAGTACAGCAACAGGCATCAGCACAACCACCATTTTCAACTCAATCAATATCTTATGCGTTCAGTGGAATGAGCCTTGACGGCTCGAGTTATATGCGTGGAGCATCAGCTCCAAGTTCTGGTTCATTCAACAACCGGGTATTATTTTTCAACCGCCAAATTTGCTTAACAGTACAGAGATCAAGACAACCATACCTTTTAACGGAGTGGATTTTTACTCCTGGAGTTTCGAGTTTGAGCTTCTTGCACAGTCCGCTAGGCTATGGCCGTTCTTCACCGGCGAGTTTACTTATCCTGTCGTGGGAACACAACTGGAGCAGCAGAGTTTCTTACACGCCTCTCTTGGGGCGTATACAGTTCTTGTTCGGAATCTGTCGCCGAAGGAGCAGCTCGGCGTCCGATCGTTTCATTCAAGCTTTACACCAGCTGAAACTGCATGGAACCACTTGAAGGGGGTTTACATGGCAAAAGATACAATAACAGTGAGTAAGATTCTTTCGCAGTTAACAAGTGTGCAGATGATGAAAAATGAGAACGTCATGGATTACGTCAACCACGTCCGTACACTACGAGATCAACTGGAGAAAAGTGGGGGATACCTCCCTCGTGAGATGTATCTCACGATCCTTCTTGCTGGCCTTGGACCCGAATGGCGACAGACGCGCGCCTTTCTGCGCATGAACCCGAACCTCTCCGAAGCTGAAATTTCGTCGTATCTTCAAGCGGAGCAGCAAGATCTTGATCTGCAGTCACAACGCAATCAGAAAAAGGGGATACACTTGAGTTTTTACTCAAATCCAGAATCGCAGCTTTGTCATCTCCCGAAATATCCCTTCTGCCATTTCTGCAAGAAACCAGGACACACTTACCAGAATTGTCGCAGTCGACATCAAAACCGACGCAGCACTTCACAGCCTTATCATCGCTCGCAGCAGTTTCCAAAGCCACATCAGCCAATGCAGCAGTCCACGATCCAAACGCAGCAGATGCCGAAAACGCCGCAGAATCCGTCGCCGTCACAGCGTCGTCCTCCGGTCTTTGCATCAGCAACATCAGGGAAAGGGGTCTTTGGATGTGTTACCACAGTTGATGTTTCAAAAACAGATTTCGAAACACGACGTGAAGAAACCACAAGTGCTGAAGGCATTCCCTTACCTCAAGTTTACGCTAACCTTGCTCGAATAATTTCAGGTCCGAATACTTGGTATCTCGACAGCTGCTGCGGTTGGCACATGTGTTCCGCTGAGACAAGCTTCATCACCAACCAGCGCCCGCTTCGTCGTCCGATACGTGTCACAGTCGCAAACGGACAAACTATTATGGCAAGATCCATTGGAATTGTGATGCTCGAATCAGTCGACACGGGATACTCACTCCACGTTACCAATGTTCTTATCGTCACTGGCCTTGGCTTCAATCTTCTCTCCACGGCTCAGCTCCTAGCACACAAAATACGCACTCAAGGCAACTATGATACAATGGATCAGGATTTATGGCACAGTTAATCAAATACTTACCTCGGTCGTGCCGCCACTCAACATGGCGTACCCGTTCTTCAGTTAGCGGCATAGGGAACTTCTGGTGATTCTGAACGCGTCCTCGCCCTTGGTCCCTGGGATCATCCAGAAGAAATGGATTATCAACACGTGGATATTGATTTTCGAGCACCTACTGTACCAACGGCTTCTCGAATTGCAGCTGCTATACTTACCGCACTGGATACTTGGGAGTTCAATACAGCCAATGAAGGCGCCAATGCTTGGCGAACGTTTTATACAACCCGTGAGGCTCTTCAAGGGACTCCAGCTCCACTTTGGGGAGAAATAAGTGGACTTGCAGCTGATGAACCTGACGTCGTTGAAGAAGCCGAAAAGGAAGCAGTCGCCGAGCAGCCGTGTCCAACAGTAGCTGTCGCAGAAACACCTGCCACAACATCAACAGAAGCAACATCAGAAGTTGTAATCGCAACTGCAGCAGCACCTTCAAATGTTCCGTTACCACTTACACGTTTCGTCGAAGGGGAGATTGACAAGTCACCAGCGCTTTCTCCTTTTATTATTTCTTCGTTTTATACTAATGCCGATTTCTACCTGCGATCATCAGATCACAAAGCCACAGAAGATATCTGGCATCAGCGGTTAGGACATCCATCACAAGGGATTCTTAATCATTCAATCTGAGCAGCTGTTCTTGATAAAAATAGTCTTCTCTTACTTGACGGCACGGAGATGAAGCCACAGACTCGTCCGACGGTTTGCACCACGTGTCCAGTCGCCAATCTTACCACGACCCGTTTCCAAGTCAAACCTTCCCACTCAAAATCTCCCCCATTCCGTCTTGGTCGCATGGCTCGCCGTCGCTGAATGAGAGTCTGCCGTGAAACTGCAAGAATTCCAGAGTGATGGTGTAGGGGAGTACACGAGCAACACTTTCACAGAATACCTTCAGACCCTCGGCATCAAACGGAAGCAGTCACTGCCGCATGCACACCAACAGATAAGGGTAGCAGAGAGGATGAACCGAACTCTGCAAGAGAAGATGCGTGCTCTGCTGACGCAGGCACCTCTTCCTCCTCGTTTTTGGCCATATGCGATGGACCATGCCGTGCTGTTACACAACCTTCTTTCTTCAACATCCCTGCCCGAGTTCTCTTCTCCACACCTGCAGTGGACACGTACAGTGGGAAGTACCAAACTTTTACGAGTTTTTGGGTGTGTCATGCAGTATCGTCCTCCAACTGCAGCACTCGGCAAATTTTCTAAACGAGCAAAATGGGGGGTTCACCTCGGCATCGAAAAACAGTATCACGCATGGAAGATTTTGGATCTTCGCTCCAACCAAATCGTCCCATCACGTGATTGTCTCTTCTATGAAAGACTCACCTTGCCCATTTTTCGTGCCCACCATGCAGCAGCTGCCAACCCTGCCAGGCTGTTCGAAGGCTCGCGTGCATTTGCA